AAAAACCGTCATCTTTACTTCATAATAGACGACTCTTTTTTATAAAAGCGTCATCTTTACATAAGACCACCCTTTTTAAAAAAAAAACCATCATCTTTACTTCATAATATACGACCCTTTTTTAAACAAATCATCATCTTTACATATAATAGACAACCCTTTTTTAAACAAACCATCATCTTTACATATAATAGACGACCCATTTAAAAAAAAAAACCGTCATCTTTACTTCGTAATAAATGACCCTTTTTTTTTTATAAAAGCATCATCTTTACATATAATAGACGACCATTTTTTAAAAAAAAATATGTCATCTCTACTTCATAATAGACAACCCTTTTTTAAACAAATCATCATTTTTACATATAATAGACGACCCTTTTTTAATCAAGCCATCATCTTTACATATAATAGACGACCCATTTTTAAAAAAACCGTCATCTTTACTTCATAATAGACGACCCTTTTTTATAAAAAGCATCATCTTTACATATAAAAGACGACGCTTGTCATACCTGCTGTCGTTGTTTTTTGGTCAGATTTTAACTCTGAAGAAAACCTTTTTAATAAGACGACGCTTTTGTATTTGTGTGCATCGTTATAAAAAAATATTCAACAGTACCTCCGTTTTTTAGTTGTTTAAGTCACTTCCCACGACGGTTTTTTGTTACTGTCGTCTTTTTAAACACAACGACGGTTTTTTCTTCTACCGTCGTCTTTTCTAGTCGTCTTTTTCACTTTTTGTAGTAGTGAATGTGCATCATTAGGAAAATCAGCATTTGCATTCATTTGCATGTGCATCATTTGGCCACTATTTCCAACATGGAATTTTTAACCAGGGCACGTGATTTTGCTTGTTATAAGTCCAATCATTGGCTGCCAAGTGTCCTTTTGACGTACCAAAATGGCTGGAGCTAGTCTGGACTTATCAACTCTCTCATTTACATTTTTCAAATGGGTTTTGAGAGAGAGAGAGAGAGAGAGAGAGAGAGAGAGAGAGAGTTCTAGTGAGAGATGGTGCATAAATTAGGTTTTGGTTTTTGGAAGAAGAGTTCATGGGTTCTTGAATTCCTTTTAGGCTTTCAGTCTACATCTAGGTTCATATGACTAGATCATCTTCTTTAGTCAAGATCAGATTCTTGGTTGATTTCTTCAAAAGGATGGTTTCTTGAAGGAATTGACCCTTTTCATCTCAAAATCTATATTTCATTTGCTATATTCGATCCGGAAACGAGTTGCGGTGCCATGGGGTGAAGAAGCTAATGGACTAGTTGCCATTTTCATGAAGGACAAGCTACTAGCTCAACTAAGTTTAGAGAAGAAGGTTGCATAGGGAGGTAGTGCTCATTTCCTAAATAGATATAGGATTGTTTGAACTTGTGATTGTTTTTTCTGTAAGAATCGTTTTGACTTAGTGGATTTCCTGGTCCACGTGATGACCCTTAGTTTTTCCCAATGGTGGTTTCTAGGTGAACATTTCTCATGTGTTGTTCTCGATTTTATGACTAGCCTGTATATGTTATCTCTAAAATGTTGATGAATGTTCACATACCTTTCACTCTAGTTGTTTCTAGCACAAGGGATGCCTAGATTGATGGATCCTTCTGAGTGTCTAGGTTGTCACGTCTATCTTTTAGGTTTGCAGGTTCTTATATTTGATTTGTGATGAATCTGTGCTGGGCTTGTTTGTTCATAGGTCTATGACTAGTAATTCACTAGTCATATTGTTACTAGGAACAGTTAATCATTGTTGTCTTAGATTTGTCAATTATGATTTTAATTTACCTCCTAAGTACCAATTTCAATTGGTATCAAAGCTCCAACTGTTAATAGACATAGAGAGATCCTTTGGGTGCTAATTGGTATTAGGTGTGTAAACATAAAAATGGATCAAATTCCTCCTTGTATTCATGATGAGATTGCTTTGTTTGTTAAGAAATATAGAAGGGTTGTCAAAGATAAAACCGAAGTCACTAAGAATTGTCAAAATCCTCCTAGTTCGTCTGCATGTGTGTCTCAAGACAATGTTCTTGAGGAGAGGAATTTTTTGGATTCTTTTGGCTTTACGGAGGATGAAAGATTGAATGGTCTTCTAAAATGTTACATATGTGGTGGTGCTAGTCACATTGGTGTGGAATGTGCAAATAACCACATGACAAAGCCTAAAGAGAGAGAAGAGATCAATTAGTGCACAATGGAGTAATAGTGATAGTGATGATTCCAACAAGTATATCACTTCATCTAATGAAAAGGCAAATCATTTTTCCCTTGTTGTTTCTGTTTATAACTTTAGCCTTGCTAGAGTTCATGCAATTAATGAGGGTGAATCTGATTCAGGAAATGAATCTAAGTCTGGAGATGATAGGCAGGATGACCAATCATATAGGGAACTATGTGAAAATTTCAATGAAACTTGTAATTTCAAAGAACAAAATCACATGCTAGAACAAAAGGTCAAAGAACTTGATGAACTTAATGAAACTCTCAAAATGACCAAAAAAAAGTTGAGTGATATCTTGTGTGAGAATGAAGTTGACATGCATGAATTGTATCATAAAGTTAGCACTCTTGAAAAAGAAAATTCTAATTTGATTGAGAAGTTGAATATGCTTGAAAATGACAAATCCTTGTTTCTTCATAGACTAACTTTGTTTGAGTTTGACAAGTCATTAGTTGAGCATGGAAAGGTAGTCGTGCATGATAATTTTGTGGTTGAAAATTCTATTTTGCAACGCATGGTATTTGAGAAAGATATTGAGTTGCAAAACTTGTTTGCTATGGTAAAATCACTTGAAAACAACATGGTTAAACAATCTGAATCTTTTGATGCTTTATAATTTGAAAATACAAAATTGGAACATGAACTTGAGTTGGAAGAAGAAAAAAATTCAACGTTTAACCATTGGTGCTGGAAAGATTGATAAAATGCTCAATTTGGGAAAATTGTTTGGTGATAAAAGAGGTTTAGGATATATAGATGAGTCTTCGACACCTTCATCATTTGCGACAATCTTTGTCAAAGATGTGACACTCAAGAAGCTCCAAAATTGGTTCATGATCTCAACTTGTGTTTCGATTCTATGAATATTGTTTCAAAGGGAAAGTAATCTACTCCACAATCCAAATTTGTGCCTACGTGTCACCATTGTAGTGTCAAAGGACACATCCGACCTAGGTGTGATATTCTTATGATTGAGTCTCGAGCTACCAAAGAAAATGAGTTTAAGAGTCATGTATCATCTTGTAAGGGGTATGTGGCTATAAAGTCAAGAGTTTGTACAAGAGGTAAACAATCTTCATTGCAAAATTTGGTTTCCCAAAACAAAAGAGGTTCATTCCTACATGCCATCATTGTGGCATATTAGGACACATTAGACCAAAGTGTTTTGAGCTTAGGAATTTTGAGCAAAACCCTTTTGTTCATTTCAAGAAAGTAAATGGTAAATCACTTCAAACTCAAGTGAATGATCTTCTTTATAAAGTTGTCAAAATTCCTAAGTTGATCTCTTTGCTTTATAAAGTTTCAAAAGTGAAGCAAGTTTGGGTCAAGAAGGAAGACCATGTTCTTCTTCATGTTGGTGACTAGTTTCTTCGTGTTATGTATCTAGACCATTCTCTTGTTTATATGTGCTTCATGGAGTCTAGATGCATTGCCATGTATGTGCATTTTACTTGTTATTTTTTTATTTTGGTCTCATAGTTTGACTTTGTGCTCATCATTCATCTCTTATAGTACTTTGGATCTCATGTTCATTCAAACTTCATGATGTGTAAGATCTTGTAGATGTTTGACTAATTGACTTAAGGCATTTTCTTACATAAAAGATCTTGGTGAAAACAATGTCTTGCAATTTGTGCATATTGAGAAGCAACTAGTTGTTTTTTTCTCTCAACCGCTATTGATTTCTTTCAAAGATCCGGTTGTGCAAAATGGATTAACTTGTGTTTTAGGCTTGCAGGTCCTTATATTTGATTTGTGATGAATCTGTGCAGGGCTTATTTGTTCATAGGTCAATGACTAGTAATTGACTAATCATATTGTTACTAGGAACAGTTAATCATTGTTGTCTTAGATCTGTCCATTGGGGTTTTAATTTACCCCCTTCACCTAAGTACCAATTTCAATAGTGTATCCCTATATAATAAATATCCATGAGCTTTAATCCCCCATATTTGGCATCTGTCATTTCTTAGTTTCTCAACTTATAATTTAATTTTGTTTTATGCAGATTTCACGTTTATTTATTTAAAGTTTCTCTTTTTCCTGTTGACTAATGTAGGGGTTCATGGACTCCTTGCATTTGGGTTTCCCTCACATACTTTTAGCCTTTTAAATGTTACCCCTATCCTAAAAAATTCATGGAAGAGACCACCCAAGAAGATCCATGCCAGAAAATAGTTGTGATTTACTATTTGTTTATCCTGATTTATTTTCTTTGAGTTTTTGATAAATTATTTACGCCATCCGATAATTTCCATCAATGTCTCCTTCGATACCTGCCAGCGCCACTCTGTCAGAACCCTCAAAATATGAGAGCCGGCTTTGCTAGGAATTATGTAATTATATGCATAAGAAAGAAAAATAAAAAATGTAAAGGTTCAAATATAAACGTTCAAAACAGTAAAGGGCCACTTGCAAATATTACTTTATAAAAAACAAATACATATATATCGGATGTGATTCCCTTCTTAGAATGAAAGCTTCTTTTTTGTGAAGAATGGAATATTATATGTTAGGCAAACAAAAGTTTAGCATATGGAATAAAGGCGTTTTTCTGATATTCCAAAGTGTTTTCCAACCCATCGGTCGCTATTCATGCATATGCTTCACATCAGCACGCATGAACCAAAGAACAAAACAGTTAACAGGTTGGGTCATAAGCTAAAGCCCGCATCCTCGTCGTACACGTAAATACCAAAATCATATGCATTGAAATGACCAACTTAGCCCTGTCTTTACCTATATAAGCAACAAGAAGCATTGGATGGAAGACGTATAATGAAGAGATGGAGGAGCCCAAAAATGAGAATATGGTCTGTGCAAGGGATCTCAGAATCATTTGGTCTAGAGACCGTCGTTACTGGCGATGGGTCAAAGACACAGATAACAGGTAACGAAAACTTCATTACATAACTTATGGTTTTTCGGTTTCTCCAGTCCTATTGAACATTTGAAACAGACATATATGCTATCAGTAATCTCAGTCCTAACTTCGATTTCATTGCAGTTACGTTGCTGAACTGTTAAATGTATGTTGGCTAAAAGTGAGTGGAAAAATTGAGAACCCAAACCTGTCACCAGTAACTAAGTATGAAGTTGTGCTCGTGGCCAAGATGAAAACTAGAGCTTATGGATGGGATGCTCCAGTGAATTTCAAATTCACTCGCCCAGGTGGTACACATGACTGGACCATTAATTTGGAGGATGAATTTAAGGATAGCAAAGATCAATGGAAAGATATTAAGTTGGGTGAGTTTGATCCATCCGGAAATCCTGGGGACATCGAGTTTTGGCTGTATAAATATGGTGGGGTTGCCGTTCGACCAAAGAGCTAAGTTGCAGAATATTATTGTAATAACTAGTTGCCAAAAATTCACATTTTGCTTTCAATCTTAATGCCATCTACAGCTTCCTATAATCTTTGCAGCAGTGGTTGTTTCGATTAGCAAGAGCCATGCTGCTCATGATCATTTACCATGTTTAGATCTGAATTTGAACTACAATTCGAACCCCCACCTTTTCCTCCTTAATTAATTACTTGAATTCATAAGATTATTTTCTTTATTTCCTTATTTAAATCATTTAATGTTTTTTCTTATTTAGTTGTATCATTATTATCTACTATAGTTGATTAAATCACACAATCCCAATCTCCATCTCGTAGTTCTTGGTTTGTGAAGATACGTTGTTAGGTGATTTTGGTTATGAACAACGTTGAGCAGTGCCAAACCCATATTATAACTACCAGCACCAACTAATTTTATTTTTATATGACTGACATAATAACTACATGCAAAATTATTTTGGAGATTCATGGTTTCATGACTACTCCTTATAATACATATACTATACACATAGACATGAAGACAACAATCCTTTATGCCTACACTCCACCTGCCACAACCCAGCATATATCTTCTCTTTTACGCATCTCACCAGTACGTGACAATTAATAAGTGAATAAATTCACACATCTTTAATGCACACTTTTAATTGGTGTCTGTATTTGTTCCTCTTTAATATGAGCCAATTAGTTTGGTTTCAATTGTGTTTTGTAGGATAATTAGGTCAAAGAGAAGAATTTTGAGCATAAACGGAAGTTTCTGAGCCTCTCCTACAAAAAATTGTTGTGAAAGTTTCGAACCTAATTTCTAGACCTACTTAATCAAAAATTTAATTGCAAGTGCACGAAATATGTAATAGTACAGCAAGTAAATACGAGATCCTTTCCATATAGAAATTAATTTAAACACTTTACTTTTATTAGATGACTTAATTAAATTAAACGAAGATTTAACCAAATACGAGATTCTTCCCATAGAAATTAATTTAAACACTTTAGTTCTATTAGTTAACTTAGTTAAATTAGATGAAGATTTAAGCAAAGATAAGCATACACACAAATCAAGATAAGTACACAACTTGTAACCATATATTTCTTCATGGCCAAATTAAATCTTTTAAACTTGTACACATGTTCCTCTTTTACTCCCCTGTCGCGGAGTATGCCCAAGCGGCAAGTTCAAATATAATTCTTCATTTAAGTCTCTATGTAGAAAAGCAATCTTTACATCATATTGCTACAAAGGCAATTCTAAAATTGCAGCCTGTGACAAGAGGAACCAAATTCTATTAATCTTGGAAACATATTTGAAGGTTTCCTCATAGTCAATTTCATAAGTCTGATTGTATCCCTTCACAACTAATCGAGCTTTATATCTTTCAATGGACTCATCATAATTATACCTAAAACCAACCCTTCTGTCCTTTTAGTAATATCATTACCAAAAAAATTAACACAAAAAAGAAAAAGAAAAAAAAAGGGTTGTATTTGTCTAAACCCACGTCCAGCAGCAAGCCTTATCTAATATGGATGATAAGCTTTAAAAAATAATAAATAAATAAATAAAACAAGTAAAGCCAATTATCTAATAACCTTTTCAAGTTTCAAAGCTAAAGGATAAAACAATAATCTCCTAAAGGAGTTTAAAAAAAATAGGAGTCTGACCAATCAATGAAAACTCTCAAAAGAGGTTGACGATTCTTGTTTTGGTGGAGCTGATTATTCAATAAAAAGTCCTTCACAAAAGTGATCTCTCACGGATAGCCTACAAAAAGCACGGCTATGGGAAAAGAAAAAAGGGGGGAGGATGAGCAGGCAGGCTGCAAAGAGAAACAGAAGAGGATAAAAAAAAAAAAAAAAAAAAAAAAAAAGAAAACCCCAAGGGGGGGCAAAGTGTGCATGATGAAGCAAAAAAAGACAGAAGCAATCAAAGATGCATTTTGCATCTGCAACAAAGCTCATCTCTTGAAGTCCTTCGTGCTTGGGTATAAAACCCGCAAATTGAACAAATGGATGGTAATCGATGTTGGGTGGCAACCCACAAATCAATAATGCTTTGCCGAGCGAACCCCCATATTTGGGTATAAAACTCACAAATCAAACAAATGGATGGTAATCGATGTTGGGTGGCAACCCACAAATCTCCATGCTTTGCCAAACGAACCTTCATGCTCTGCCTAGCGAACTTGGATGATGAATTCATTTTAGATACAAAACCCACAAACTAAATATTAGGAGGAAAATCCATAAATTCCCATCGGATGATAAAATCTATTTTGGGTATAAAAAAAAAAAAAAAAAACCATGAATCAAATATTGGGATGAACCATATATGGACGAAATACCCTTAAAAAATTATTATACTGCAGAAAAGATGGTGTTCCATGTGTCAAGGCAGTGAAAGACGAGGGCAAGCAATCACCCAAGCCCCAAAAAAGAGTTGGCTTCTGTTCAAATTGTGGAGCCATGATATGTTGTGCAATAAGGGACAAAAGTGCCGCAAGACTGAAGTACCATTCTCTCTAATTGCAACCACAGAAAATATCTATTTGCTGGCAGAGTGAAAAGAATAAATCAAGGGATCATAACCCAACATGAGCGATGATCGTGAGCATCACATACTTCGGTTTTGGAGCTCACTTCCAGCAAATGATCCGCCACTGATCATGACCACTTGCAAATATTACTCTATAAAGGGGAATACATATAAATAGAAATTCTCCTAGGCAGACAACTTAACGTTATTATCGTGCGGATGTTTTTTACTACTCCTTTCTACTTTCTTCCTTGTTTACAATGGTATCTGCATGATAATGTGCAGATATCCAGATGAGATATATATATATTTATATTTATATACAGTCTCTTTCCATTGAGGGGTCCATCGAATAATTTTATTTGAGGGACACCCTTTAAGGTACCCTACGAATTTGTTAACAATCCAAACCATTCATTTTTCAAGTATTCATTCATAGATCATTCTTGCAAAAAATCAAAAAAATTAAAGGCATCTAATTGCTAGCAACAAAATAGATGAACATGATGCTTCACGAAAAGACTAAAATAACAATAATCTAATTAAGTGGCCAAATGGTTTCGGATTCAAATGATTTTTTGTAGATATGATTTTTGAAGGAATATATAAAAATTAGAGATCATTGAAAAACAATGTGTGGTGAGCCCTATAAGGTGTCCCTCAAATAAGCTTATTTTAGAAATCCCTCAATAGAATATCTATATATATATCGAATGTGATTCCCTTATCTTAGAATAAAAGCATTTTTTCTTTTCCTGCAGAATGGAATATTATATGTTAAGCAAACAAAAGTTTAGCATATGGAATAAAGGCGTTTTTCTGATATTCCAAAGTATTTTCCAACCCATCGGTTGCTAATTCATTCTTCACATCAGCATGCATGAGAAACTGAAATCCAAAGAACAAAAAAGTTAACAGGTTCACAAGCTAAAACCCTCATCCAAACCTTTAGCGGTGTATACGTAGATACTAAAATCATGCATCATGTGCATGCAGGGAAATGACCAACTTAGCCGTGTTTTTACCTATATAAGTAACAAGAAGCATTGGATGGAAGACGTATATTGAAGAGATGGGGAATGCACAAGAGAAAATAACTAGAGGACAAATAACTAGTAACAATGCATCGGAGAAACCAACCGAAGGAGGGCCTTCTTCTACTGCAGCTCCCTCTGATAATCAGAAGGTACGTAGAAGTCAAAAACGCTTCTGATAATCAGAAGACAGAAACACAATCAGTTAAGTAGCAGCTCCCTTTATCTGAAATGCAAACACCATGCTCTGATGGTTTAATTTTGTATGTTATAGCTACATATATACATATAAGGTTAACTGTTGATTTGCCCCATGAATCTATAACTTTCGATTTACCCCCTATCCTTTTTTTTTAAAGAAAATTAAGAACCTCAATTATTATTTTTTGTCAATTTCCCCCCTACCAAGGCATGTGACACTTAAATAATTATAAAATAATGTTATAAAACAATAAAGAAATAGAAAACAAAACAAAAACATTTCCTAGCCCCATCCTGCTCCCACCAATTCCTAGCCTCCCTCACCATCATCCCCTAGCCACCCCACCATAGTTGGGACCTTAACACCTTGAATTCCTTAGTCCACCTAACACCCAAGCCGTGTAATATCTGCGTCATGCTACTCAACCCGCAACCCCCACCTGATCTGCCCATGGGAGGAAGGAGAGAGAGAGAGAGAGACACACACACACACACACAAGGACGGATCTAGGCATGGGCTAGAGTGGGCTCTAGCCCAGTGCTAAATTTGGAGATGAAAAAAATTAATGTTAATTTTATAAGTAAAACCCAAGTTAATTAAAAATAGTCCACCCCTCTTTGTTGAAATTAGCCTATCACAACCATAAGATTTCATCTCTAGAGGCACCCCCACACATCAAACATCATGTTTTTCTATTACCCACCCATGTAAGCTATAACTTTATATTTGAACTTGAGAGTTTAGAAGTAGTAGGTCACCTCCTCTTTAAAATTGTATCAACCTATATCCAATGGGTTCTTTAATATTAGTAAGTTCCTTGCTGCTGCCCATGCTCTGCTGCTTGGTGCGTCAGTTCCAAAGCGGTTCTAGATGGATGCTATTACCTATGCAGTCTATCTCTTGAATCGTCTACCTTCTCGAATTTTGGATTTCCGAACTCCTATGCAGGTACTGACTCATCATCTCTCTGCCTCTTCTATGTTGACTCTGTCTCCAAATGTGTTTGGTGGTGTTGTCTATGTTTACCTCCATCAAAATCAAAGAAGTAAGATGGACCCCTGAGCTCTCCGCTATGTCTTTCTGGGTTTCTCTCCTCATCAGAAAGGCTACCGGTGCTATCATCCTGCAACCCAATGTCTATATGTTTCTATGGATGTTACCTTTATTGAGGATGAAATGTTCTTCTCTGATACACCTGAGCATGTCCTTCATGGGGAGAC